TTCTCCTGCTCAGAAATTTTCAAGGGTTCCTTATATATACAATAAAAACCTAGACACCTTACCCTGGCATCCAGAATCCTCCACCTTCTAGACTCAAACCTACATTCTTAACCCATCTCTCGACCCTTCCCTATAAGAATTCTCTGCTTTTCCCAAACTATTCTACCATGGCTGTGACTTGGCTTTCCACTTCAGTGCTTTTGTTCATTATATTCCTCTTTGTGGGACACCCTGCTACTCTCAGAGCTGCCTATCCAAAGAGGCAGTGTGACATAGTGGGTAGAATGCTGACTTTAGAAAGACCTGTGTTCAAAATCTTTCCAAACTAGCTCTGTGAAGATGGGCATGTCACATAATCTTCACAAACCTCAGTTTCTATGTCTGTAAAATAACACTACTTTCATAGGTATGTTGTGAGTTTCAAGTACAACAATGTATGTAAGGCACTTTATAAATCTAAAGGTGTTATAGAGAAGTCTGCTGTTATAATTACTCATCTGTCCATATACTGTTCGAAAACCACCTCTATGAAGCCTTCCAGACTACTCTAGCCCACATGTGATCCCTTCTACATCTCAACTTTCCCCATTGAGGTTTCGATACATGGTAGGTCAGCATAAGATGGGAATTTTGGGGGAGTTTTTCTGGAAGTAGCAGATGACATTCGAAGGCCAGCAGATGATATAGAAAAAAGTTTAGAAACTCAGAAATGCATAAGATATATGTTTACTATTGTATAATATCAACTTATTTTATCTTTTAATACCATAACAATTTATACTTCTCTGGTACAAAAGGGAGAGTCAAAAAATTTTACAGGGATTTTCCAGATTTCAGGAGGTGCCATGCCCCTAACTCCAGAGGTGTGGAAGGGATAACTGTACTTTTCTCTCTTCTGAACTCCTAAAGCACTTTTCATTTGTGCCTTTCATTTAGTACTTAGCTTTTATTGGCTTGTACAGTTAGTTTCAAATGGATGAACTAAGTTCCCAATTAGAATGGAAACTTCTTGAGGTCAGGAACCATGAGGGTCTGCTTGTTTGTCTCCCACACAGTGCCTAGCAAAATCCCTTAAGTTTGTAGTATACTAGGGTTCAGGAAATGTGGTTATAGTGTGAATGTTTAAATGAACTGATAATCAAAAGCCTGGGTCTGAGCTGTGGCTCTGTTATTTACCAGCTACACAGCCTTAGACAAATCACTTAAGCTCTCTGGTTTCCTCATCTGTAAAATAAGGGAGTTGAATTATATGATTTTTAAAGTATTTTCCAGTTCTAATAGTCCATACTGTTGTGCCATAAGAACTGACAAAAAGAATGGTTTCAGAAAAACTTGGGAAGACTTGTATTAACTGAGGCAGAGTGAAGAGACCAGAAGTAGGAGAAAAACTATCTTAACAACAACATTGTAAAAATGGAAAACTTTGAAAAACTTAAAAATTCTAATCAATAAAATGAACAACCACGATTCTCCAGAACTGATGGTGGATGAACTATACTACCTACCTTCTGACAGAGAGGTTAGGGACTCAAAGTGTAGAATGAGACATACACTTTTTGGACCTGGCCACTGATGAAGGAGAGGTTCTAAAAAAGGCACACTTCAATTGCTGGCTAGCCTGTACCCACAGGCAGACATACAGGGAAGTCAGTCATGTTACAGGTAGCCATATGAATTTTCATTAGAAGGAAAATAACTTCTGGTGATAACTGGCTACCCGGAGGGAATCCACTAAGAGGTCAGATTTTCTCTCTTAGGACACAAGATATGAAGCTCCTTTATATTATTCTAAGAGATAGGGATAGGGACTGGATCCATGATCTTATTAATAAAGGGAATTCTGGGTTAAGGCAACTTCCTCTACCAAAGGAAGTCTGTACTTTCTTTGTAACTTTTAGTATTACAATTACCCAGGACTTGAACCCAGGTCTTCCTGGCTTTGAGACCTCCTTTCCATCCATTACAATAGGTTGTCTTTTTGAAAGAAGAAATGATCATTCTTGAGAGAGCAAATTACTCTAGAGGACTAACTAAAGATAAGGAAAGGGTGTACTTCCACAATCCACATCCTTTCTTTCCTGGTTTAGCCCTCCATTTTTGGCCTCAGCTCTGTAAGTTCGAGCATTTATCTGCCCTTTTGCTCTGCTCCACTCACTCTATTCCATGCCTTCCCCTTCCACTCCACACAGTTTCTTAGGGGCACACAGAGCCTTGAGACTTCTCTATTTTGACCAGTATATGGGAAAATCCCCTTTCTTAGCTTTTTTTTTCTATGTGTATCTAATGAGGAACTAAAGGAGAATGAGAGATTGAACAAAACACAGAAACTAATGTTTACAAAGTATGGGATTTTGCTTCAAAACTTTAATAACCAAGCACATCTTATGATGTGTCTGCCCCTCTGTCCTTTCCCCTTAATCCTCTAACATTTCATATTTTAAAAGCTGAAAAAAGATAACTTCTAAGCCTAAAATATATTAGGGTTGTTTGGGCTTTCTTTCATGCCTGATGGGATTCCTCTTTTCTCCTAGACCTTGATTCCATATTGTATCTCCAAATTTGGGCAACATTTTTAGTCTGCAGCCTCTGGATTCCTACCAGTAAGTCCTCTCTGATTTGGGGTCCCCTGGGTGAAGAAAGTGTCTCCCTAGCTGACTCTAAAACTATTTTCCTCTAGTTTAAAACCACCCTGCATTAATTTGAATGCACTTTGTACTTGCTGAAAGTTTCCAGGTCCCCATGAGTTCTACCCTTATCCCTAACCTGTATCTCTCTGGCCTGGGAGGTTTGGCTAGAAATCCTCACATTCTGTTCAAAGAGGATAGTTCTATTACACCCACCATTGTCACCTAACCTTTCAATTTAGGGGCTTTATAATGGGGACGCCATCCTTCCCTTTACCTAGACCCCAGGTGCTTCATATTACCTCCCTCCAGCAGCCAGGTGAGCCCATTATCTATCTGGTATTTTCTCTTCCTCCCTCATGGTCTATTTCATTGATAACATCCTTTCCACCACCACCCCACCGACCTCAATGTAATTTCCCCCCCTCTTTACTAGATAAATTTTTTTTTGTCCTGACCAATGATTTCATCGGGGTAGAAAGCTCCCCAGTGAGGAAATGCTTCCAATCAATGCAGCTCAGCTACCGTTTGGCAATTTAAGTTTGCTAGGAAATTTCACAGTCACTGAAAGACTAGTCCAGGGTCACACAATCGAGGCTAGACTAGAACTCAGATTGTGTTGCCTTCTACATCACAAAGCATCTATTTAAACGATTATTTATCTGAATTGTTGGTAAGAAAACCTGAAGACTTGAAGAAGTGTTCAAAAAAGAAAAAAAGGGTGGAAAGAAAAAAAGAGAACTGAATAAGAGGTGAGGGGGTCAGTTAGTAAAATAATAGACTGAAGTCAATGACCCTACTAAGCCTCTACTCAATATTTTACAGGGCTCTAGAAAGACATAGGGTTGGATGGTATGTGAACGTGTTTATTTGTGTATGTGTGTATATTATATACATACACACACACACATACACATAATTAAAATCGGCTGGGACAAGGCCCTACTACTCCCCCACATACACACCTTAGCAAAGAAAAACTTGACTGTTTACTTATGTTAATCACCAAGCCAAAGCAAATAGACTAGTGCCCGAGTTAGTTGCAGAGAGTGGTAGAACCAGTGGAGGGAATCAGGTGGCGCAAAGCAGTGTTACGGGCAGATTACAGAAACACCTCCACCCCCAACTCAGCGTAGCTTTAATTCATTCCTTCTAGGCCATCAGGTGGGTTATCACATTCCAGGGAGTTGCATCACCTGTCACAAGTTGCAAAGTCTATTTTCCCGCAGCGCTGGGGTCGGCCGCGGCTTCTCTACCTCTCACAGCTCCACACAGAGAGACAGCAGCACCACCACAAGGCCAGCAGGGAGTCTGGACAGACTGATCTTCCTCCACCCAGATCCCATGCTCTCAGACTTACAACAAATGGTTCTTACGGGGTCTCAGATGGAATATTTTGTTCCATTGGATGGGATAATGTGCCCCCAGTTGGTGTGAAGAATTATCTGTTTTGCAACCGTTCCCCTGCATACACAACGTTGGATATCCCCAAACCTGTAATGAACAGTAATTCCTAGGGTATTTCAGACGTAGTCCTAGTGTGTGTGTGGGGGGGTAGAGGTGGTCAGGTTAATCGGGTCACGAAGTAGCTTCTAAGGCACCCTAGGCACCGCTAATAAACTAGAAAAAAAACCGTGGGCAGAAAACAACCTCACAGCTCTCTACCCAGCTCAATCAGGAATCCAGACTGACTGGACCAACGGACGCTCTGCAGAAGGAGTGGCGAACTTCTGCACGAAACTGCCACATTTTCTTAGCAAAACTCTCGTGTCTCGCCTTAGCCGGCAAATTCTCTTTCTCTCTCTCATAGGAGTTTCATCACAAGTCTCCACAGGTCACATGTGCAACCAGTGAAAGGTCTTACACCTTGCCCAACCCCACCTGCAAGGGGCGAACCTTCTCTTCCTATGTTCCTTGTCCGTCCCTGTCTCTTGAGCGGATTCGCCCAGAGTCAATCAATCCCCAGACCCAAAGCACCAGAGTAGGAATTCGCATCTGGGAGAAGATTGGGATTATCCTCTTCCTTCCAGTTTCCAATCACACTCCTCCCACACCCTCACACCCCAGCCAGACCCCGACCTTCACTGTAGTACCAGCCCAAGGGTAGTGTTTATAAACCCGGCTCGGGAAAGCGAGATGGGGTGACCTAGGCTTTTCATTCATCCCTCCATTGACGCTGGCAGGCTTCCTGGGGTGGGGAGGTGAGGCTGGTTTGTGGGACACAAAAGTTGTCAGGACCGCGCGACCACCGAGACTGACTCTGTGCGTGTCTGTCAGCCGTGTATGTGTGTGTGTGTGTGTGTGTGGTGTGTGTGTGTGTGTGTGTGTGTGTAAATATATATGCGCAGAGCGTCCGGGGAGGTATTAACCCCTTACCTTCCAACAGCACCTCTTTGCCCGCTCGTTTGAGTGCCTGAACTGCCTCGTCGTGGGTGGCGTCCCTCAGGTCGGCTCCATTCACAGACAGGATCGCATCCCCCACGTACAGGGCCTGGGTCTGATCGGCCGCCAGCCCCTTGAAAATCTTGCTGATGAGGATAGGCATCTTGTTCTCTTTGCCCCCCTTGATGCTGATGCCCAGCCCCCCGAGCTCCTGTTTCAGCACCTTCACGCCCCGCTTCTGGTTGGCAATGGACTCGGGCACTTGGTCTGGCAGGTCAGTGAAGGCAGTGCGGACTCCCACTTGGGGGCTGCCCCCGCTCGGCTGCACAGGGGTGTCCAGGGACTGGTTCCCGCTCCCAGCCCCACCGCCGCCGCTGCCCCCGGGAACTCCGGGGCCGTGGCCACTGGCCGCACCGCCACTGCTCCGGCAGAAAGACCCATTGGTGGTTCCGCCGCCCCCGATGCCGTTGTAAGCTCCGGCGCCCTCCTCGCTGCTCAGGACCAGGGCGTCCTCGTTCAAGTTCACCAGAACTTTGTACCAACGGTCCCGCACCAAAACTTCCAGCAGCCCGCTCCGCTGCCCCCGGCCACCGCCTCCCCCCGCCGGCGCTGCCGAAGCTGCTGCTGCTGCTACCGCCATCTTTCCAGCATTCTTAAAATACCATGTGATTGCAAAAGGGAAAAAAAAGTGGGGAAGGGTGGGTGTGCTGGAGGGAAGGGGGTGGGGGCTGGCCAAGGGGTCCTGCGGGACCTAGAAGACAGAGAACCGGGAGCGAGAGGCAGCGCCCGCCGCTGCCGCCGCAGGACTTCACTCCCTGAGTTCAGAGACACACTCTGCACGCACGAGTTGGCTAGCGCCAGCTAATCGCTTCGGCTGGTTCCCCCCTCGCCTGATCCGGGGCGGGGTGGAGCAACCTAAAAGAAGAAGGAGGTGGGGGTGGGGGAGAGGAGCACCCTGCCGCCAATTGCAAAACCCCAAACCGAGGGGAGCTGTTGAACTGCAAAGAGCTGGGCAGGGTGTCTCTGGAAAGGGCACTCGGAGAAGGGCAGGGAAGGGACCTGGCAACGACAGCTCACCTGTTCCAGCCGCCGCCGCCGCAGCGAAGGCAGACAAATGCTGTACCACCCCACCGGCCTCCCTCCTTCCCCAATTAAGCGTAGCGGAGACCTGAGCCGAGGACTGCCCCCCCTCCCCGCCCCAATCCTTGCCAAGAGCCCCCTCGCTGCGTTGGCTCCCTTCCTCTTCACAGACTTTTTACTCTCAACTCTATCTTATTAGCTGGTTTTCTCTCCAGTTTGCTTTCTTGGGTCACATCTGCTACCCTCTTTCTTGGCCTAAGCCTGCCATACTCTTCAGATTTTTCCCGTTCTTAAATAAACCTAGGGCTGCCTCTTCCTACCTTGCCCCAACCTAATCTTTCCTTTCCCAGCTGAGCTCGGGTTGGTCTCCCTTTCGTTTAACGAATTTTGTTTGGAAGTCAAGGACAAGGGGACTCCGGGGCTAAGTGAAAAAGTAGCTTTCACCCTCGGGAAAAGAAAAAAAAAAGGAGAAAAGGATTCCCTGAGTATCCAGACTTTACAGTCAACCTGAGGAGGTCCTCATAGTAGCCCTTTTCTTCAAGGCTCTCCTTGTTCAGAGGACTTACCTCCTGCCAGGTCAAAGGAATGGAATTGGTTTTAGTCCAATGTCTGTTATCACGAATTACGGTGCTCAGGGCTTCCTAGGAGAGGTTACCTCCCTGACTTCAATCCCATTTTGTTCTATTATTTTGTATGCTTTATTATTCTGTCCTTTCTCCCTGATCCCATTCCAAACTTTACTTCCTTCCTATTTCTTCCCCAAATAGGGCATATCAGGCTCCAGTGTGTGGAGGATTTGTTTTTTGAAGTTGGTTGGAATTGGGAACATGTTTTCCCATAGAGAAAAATGCTATAAAAGGTTGTTACATTCCCAGGTCAGGCCACAAAAGCACTTTGCAAACCTTAAAAGTGATTCTGTATAAACATTAGCTCTTACTGTTATTATTGTTTTTATTACAGACGTAGCAATGTTGTGGTGAAAAGAGTGCTCACCTCTGTATCAGTTTTTGTTGTTGAGCCATTTCAGTCATAGAGGAGACCTAGATTTTAATTTTCCATTTTCAGTCCTACCATTGACACTAAATGACCATGGCTAGGCCAACTTCTCTTAGTTTCTTCATTTGTGAGACAGGAGTAATCATAATGGCAACAAATAACTCTCAAAGTTGCTGTGAGAATCAAATTAAGTAAAATTTGTAAAATACTTAGCACAGTGTCTAGCACCTAGCAGGCCATTAATATATGTTCCCTTCCCTTCCCTAGAGCAGTGGTTCTCAAAGTGTTATTTGTGGGGGACCCCCCCCCCCAAGTATCCTTTAGATCCATTGAGGAGGTCCATGAGGTCAAAATTATTTTTGTAATAATACTGATTCATTATTTGCCTAATAAAATGCTCTTCCCTCTTTCCAACTAGTTATCTGTGTGAGGCCAGGTTGTCTTCAGCAATAACATCATAACAGATTGAATGCAGAGCAAGGTAGAGAATCCAGCTATCATCTGTTGAGCCAGCCTTTAAAGAGATCTGTAAAAATCTGTAAAACAATGCCATTTCCCTCAATATTTTTTGTTTTGAAAAATAGTTATTTTTCATAAAATATTATCTATGTTAACATGTAATAGATTATCATTATTTGAAATGAGTTAATGCATATTTTTAAAATTTATGTTTTAATTTCAGATAGGGTAGATATCAATAGATATTCAAATTACCAAAAATTCCTTAGGGTCGTCAATCATTTTTCGAAGTATAAAGGGGTTTTGAGACCAAAAAATTTGAGAAGTGTTGCTCTAGAGCATTGAAAGGTAAGGCACCTTGCCCAGTGTCCCATAGCCAGTGTGTCAGGTGCAGGAGTTCAACCCTGTTATTATTTGCTAGAGGGCCTGCCACCCTGCTTCTCTAACACATTTGCTTTTTTTTCTTTCTTTTTAAAAATTAATTTATTTTTAGTTTTCAACAATTACTTCCACAAGATTTTGAGTTCCAGATTTTCCTCCCCATCTCTTCTCTCCCCTTACCCCAAGATGGCATGCATTCTGAATACCCCTAATCTGCCATTCCTTCTATCTCTCCTCCCCCTTCTCCTATACTCTCCCCTTCAATTTTCCTGTAGGGCAGGATAGATTTCTATGCCCCATTTCCTATATATCTTATTTCCCAGTTGCATATGAAAACATTTTTTTTAAACTTTTGTCTTTAAAATTTTGGGTTCCAAATTTTCTCCCTTCCTCCCTCCTCACCTACTCTCATTGAGAAGGCAAGCAACTCAATACAGGTTATACATGTGTAGTCATGCAAAACACTTCCACAGTAGTCATGTTGTAAAAAACTAAGTATATTTCCCTTCATCCTATCCTGCTCCCCATTTATTGTATTCTCTCTTTTGTCCCTGTCCCTCCTTAGAAGTGTTCACTTCTAATTACCCTCTCCCCCAATCTGCCCTCCCCTCTAACATCCTCCTGCTCTCTTGTCCCCTTCCCCCGACTATTTTCTGTAGGGTAAGATAGATTTCCATACCCAATTGAGTGTGTATGTTATTCTCTCCTTAAGCCGAATCCAATGAGAATAAGATTCATTCATTCCCTCTCACCTTCCCCAGTTTCCCCTTTACTGTAAAAGCCTTTTCTTGTCTGTTTTATATGAGATAATTTACCCCATTCTACCTCTCCCTTTCTCCTTCTCCCAGTGTAATCCTCTCTCACCCCTTAATTTTATTCTCCAGATATCACCTCTTCATCTTCAATTCACCCTATGCCATCTATCTATCTATCTATCTATCTATCTATCTATCTATCTATCTATCTATCTATCTATCTATCTATCCATATGTTCCCCCCTCCAACTACTCTAATATTGACAAAGGATGCATGAGTTACAAATATCATCTTTCCATGCAGAATGTAAACAGTTCAACCTTAATAAGTCTCTTATGATTTCTCTTTCCTGTTTACCTCTTCATGTTTCTCTTAAGCCTAGTATCTGAAAGGCAAATTTTCTATTCAGCTCTGATCTTTTCATCAAGAATGCTTGAAAGTCCTCTATTTCACTGAATGATCATTTTTTCCCCCCTGAAGTATTATGCTCAGTTTGCTGGGTAGGTGATTCTTCTCCCCATTGGGTTTTGGACCTTTTTTGCCATTTGGGTTAGGCTATTTTTTAAAGTGTTATTTTCTTTAGTATTTTTTTGGGTCTCCTCTAGCAAGCTGTTGACTTGTTTTTCATGATTTTCTTGCATCACTCTCAGTTTTTCCTCTACTTCTCTTACTTACTTCTCAAAATCCTTTTTGAGCTCTTCCATGGCCTGGAGCCAATTCATATTTTTCTTGGAGGCTTTGGATGTAGGATTTGTCTTCTTCTGGTTGTATGTTTTGATCTTTTGTTACCAAAGAAAGATTCTATGGTCTGACTCTTTTTGCACTGCTTGCTCATGATCCCAGGCAATTACTTGAGTTATAAACTCTTTGTTATGGTAGGAGTCTACTTCCAGTGTGGAGAGTATACTGTCCCAAGCTTGGGAGGTTTTGTGCAGCTCTTTTCAGAGATGCTTCTAGGGACCTGGAAATTTTCAGTTCTTCCAAGATGCTATGATCAAGGACGAGGTGTTTACTCCTTTCCTGGCCTGTGCTCCAGCACAGGCAAAGCAAGAGAATCCTGCACCAGCAGAGAGATTCCCTGCAATCCCTCTCTGCTCAGCTACCTGATTTTCCCTCAGTCTGTGGACTGGAAGCTCTGGAGACAGCTGCCACTCTGGGGCCAAGCTTGGGGAATGGGGCTGGGACCCCTTGATTCTCTCTCACAGCAGAGACAGACTTTTCCTACTGACCTTCTAAGTTGTCTTTGGCATTCATGGGTTGAGAAGTCTGGAAACTGCCATAGCTGCCCGTAATTCAGTCCTCTGAGGCCTGCTCCAGGTTCGCTGAGGCCTGTGTGCCCATGCTGAACTGCATTCCTCTCCCCACCTAGCGTGATATACCTTTCTGATCAATCATCCAGGTTGTCTTGGGGTGGAAATTTGTTTCGCTCTGTCTTTTTGTGGGTTCTACTGCTTTAGAATTTGTTTAGAGCCATTTTTTACAGGTATTTGGAGGGGTTTAGGGGAGAGCTCAAGCAAGTCACTGGGCCATCTTGGCTCCGCCCCCTCTCTAACATATTTGTACAAGGCTTTGTTGTTGTTATTGTTCAGTCGTGTCTGACATTTCATGATCCTATTTAGGATTTTCTTGGCAAAGATACTGGAGTGGTTTATCATTTCCAACTCATTTTTACAGATGAGATTACTGAGGCAAACAGGGCTGAGTGACTTATCCAGGGTCACACAGCTACTCAGGTCTTCCTGACTCCAGCCTGGTGCTCTATCCACTGTACCTCCTAGCTTCCCCTGCGTAGGGCTTTCTCATTTCTAAAATACTTTATTCACAACAATCCTACAGAAATATAAGCTCTATTATTATTAATCCATCATGTAAGATGAGCTACATACTGGGTTTCCCAAAAGTCTCAATGTATAGCATAATAGATAATAACAATAGTATTAATGGTGCTATTTTAAATTCTGGGTTCTGAGACCAGGAGACCATGCAGAATGAAGGGAGGAATAGGAAAAAGAAGAGCATTTTCTGTTCTTTAATGGCCACCAGGCTAGTCCTAGGCAAACATTTGAAATA